CTAGTGAAAGATCGTTCAGGTTTTATTCACACATTTTGAAGAAATTTAGTTCAACAGCTGCTATTCGTGAAATGAATAATGGGTCAACTGTATAGATTTCATAAAGAAAAACGATGAGGGATGCATGTCTATATCTAAACTAGCACCTTCGCTTCTTCTAGGCTCTTTGTCAGCTGTTTATTTTCCTTCTGATTGTTTCAGCCAACTTTGCTTTTGTTGTAGACTCCAAGCTTCTCATGGTCATTGAAGTTTCTACGTCTGTTTCCCGACTCTGTTCCCTCGTGTCAAAGTATTAGGGATGTGAAAGTAATTAGAGGTGCGAGGAGGTTTGAAGCTGCTCCAGAAGCCGGCTGGCCTCTGCTGCCTCATGCCTAATGTCCGAACTCTCGCACACCTGTGCCTCTGCCAAGGTGGTTGGCTTTTATCACCTTCACGCGGAGCTTGTTGGCAGGAGCATTGTTGTTAGTCACTGGGGAGATCAACTGAAAGTTGTCGTTTTGACACAGAACTCGCGATAAACGCTTCGTACATGAGATTCATTGAGTTTTTTGAAGAGGTCGGGGACCTGCATTGCAGCCCCAGATATCTCTCCTGAAAGACTGCTGGGATCTACTACAGGCTTTGGCGAGGGAGTGGCGGTTGAGGTGGAGATGACGGGAGAATGATCCTAAATATAAATCACCTTCCTTTTCTTGTTTGGAAAACTAATTAACCACCTGATCGTGATAGCTTCTATCATGGAAATTATCAATCAGCTGGGTCTCATCCATTCGCCAGTCGTCTGGATTTGGAGGCAGCGCTTCAGAAAGATTGATATTAGTAACAGCTGACAACAGACAGCGGCGAATCTTCTCCTCGACTAGACCGAGCGATACTTGTGACTGCTGGAAAATCTGAGCCAATATTCTGGGCTTGATTCTAGTGTACATGCAACTCACTGCGTTAGAATCTGTGTTCGTTAGTTCGATGTCCATTTCCGGTCTCCCATTGAAACACCCCATCAGAAAAAGTTGATTCGCTATGCAAGCAAAGCGACATTCGACCTTAGAAGAGAGATTGTTAACGTTAACAAAAAACATGAAAAAAGGTGCGCATGACAATTTTGCTTAAAGAATACTGGAAATACTATGTCTTTTTCATTGCACCATATCCTCTTTGTACCCAGTCAAATCATGCAACTAACAAGTTCAGATTATGGCACACTCACAAGGGAAGCATACAATTTATACTTTATTGGACGGCATGAGTTGCTAATTTCAGGTCTGTCTCGGGGATCTGCAAAGCACCTCGGATAAGAAGTCATGAGAATGTCTTCAATCAAAAATAAAGCAACATGTGATCAGAATGAAATTAGCTGAACGATTTTATCATTGCACAAATACAGGGTTCTCAAAAAGATGAGCCTACTGCTTGATTGTAAATACTCTCGTGATGAAGCCTTTCGAGAAGCTTCACGTATCGTTTTGTAGAGCTGGCCCTGGCTGCAACTTAGATTTGCAGTACGAAGCGAATTAATCTATCCTCATTACTGTAGAAGCATGGTAGGGACTTGCAGCATATGGCACCACTTTGAGAAAAACCGCATGGAAACCAAACGGCCTTTCTCAAAGTGGTGCCATATGCTGCAAGTACCTACCGTGCTTCTACAGTAATGAGGATAGATTCTTAATTCGCTTCGTACTGTAAATCTAAGTTGAAGCCAGCTCTACAA